TTACTTTTCAATAAATTAACGAATCATTTTTAAAGTAAGACTGGTCACTCTTATGATTCGGAAGATTCTCTTTAAAAGTTTAAAGTTGGTATAATCATGATAAAAACCTGTGATGAAAAAAATATGACTGGAAATATTTGTGTTGAAAACGGATTAATTTACTGTTTCAAAACGTAGAGAAAGCGCAAAGCTTGTGCGTTTAATAGTTAAATTAAAGTAACCGCAGATCTCTAGTCCATACGCAATGAATCACCAAATTAAAAGTAAATTTACACACGGTTGGGAAATAAATTGTTGGTAACGTTAAAACAATTGAAATATGGAGATAACGAACATTTAAAATTTAAGACGTATTAAATGCTTAGCGTTTTGTACTTAAATCAAATCTAAGATATTAAGATAATTTATTTGAAAGATTCAATTTACTTAAAGAAAATAATATTTTCCCGTAAGTCGTTGTGTTTGTAAATTAGATTTAGAACAACAATGTTTGATGACTGCGCAGTGGTTTACATGCACACTATGGACTGCTTTGACCACAAGCGATTGAAGGAATGGTTAATGGTTGCGTAATTGTAAACAAACACAAAACTTGGCTAGACGTTTTGAATTAAGGCTACATGTATCATGATCAAAATTAGAACAAAGATAAACCAACATAATCTCAAATATTTTTTATTAATAATTGTCCTTTAATTGTCGTGTTTACAAAATAGACTTAATACGCCGATTTTTATTTTGTTTACGACTGTGGGTCAATGGTTCACACGCGGTGGATCGCTTTAGATCTTCTCGGCCGCGCGTGATCGAGGGATGGGTTACGTAACGGTAAACAGAATAGAATCTGGGGTTCAGCTGAATGTAAGAATCACGCAGTTAATGATTGTGAATTATTTGACTCTTAAAAGTTTTTTCGCGTTTATATTGTTTGCTTTCATATTTAAACAAAGAAAAGATACTTGTATTTTTTTTCTGTTTCTCTCTCTTTCTCTCTTGGAAGGTTCTTTATTTTAAAACACAATAAAAGAGAAAGTTGTCACCGAATAATCTGAATAGGAACCAAAGAGCACGTTTAAAACCTAATTTAAAAAAAAATTAGGATACAGCGTTGAAAGATATATTATTTATGGCAAGTTTATTTCAGTTATACGCATAATGAGTTCTTCACTAGCCAAATGAAAACGCGTTCTTGTTTACGGGTCTAGCTTTTTTTCCCTACCATACACAAGACTCGAACAAAATAATATTTTCATGAGACAAAGAAGGTATAAAGGAACAACTTTTTATCGACAGTCATATCGAAATATTTTCTCGTTTTTGAGTTATAAGGCAAAAACTTTCAAGGGCCCCAGATCCCTAATTTAAGGGGCCAGCTCCTTTTTAGTGGTGTCAAATAAAAGGTAATTAAATTGTACACAACTTTTATTCTACATGTCTTAATAAAATATTTCTTATTTAAAAGATACAAAGGAAAACATGTGTCAATTTTTGCTATTTCATGCGTCCTAATTTTTGACCCCTATCTAGCGGCAGTTTGAACGCAGAAATCAAAAAACAAAAACCAATGTTCACAACTTCATTGCTTCTGTTTCTTATATTCAGTAATATTCATGTTCCAACTTTTGTAGTCTCGGAATATTTGTCTTGAAATTAAAGACCCTAAATTTTCACTTAAAGGGAAATAACTCGAAAGCGGAAGTGGATTTTGGAAAAATATTATATTATTCTGATAGAGTTTTGTAACGTCTATAAACTCTGAAATTTTGATTAAAATCCGTTGGGAAATAAGCAAGATATGAGGCATCAAACTTAACAAGTTGGAAAAAGAAGATAAAAATTTGGGCTGTAGCGGACGTTGATGTTTGGTATTTCGGGTAAAAATGAACATCCAAGTACAAATCTACATATGTTGCTCTATCATCACTGAAAATCTCACGTTCCTGTGTTAAGTGCTTTTCTTGAAAATGCCCGGACAAACTAACCCTCGAAAATCACCAAATCTCGAAAATCTCCGGACCGGAAGTGACGTCATCAAAATAAAAATATATATATCTAGATTTTTCAATTCTCTATCAGACCTGAAAGTTTCATGAAAATCGGGCGAGTCGTTTCCGAGAACTCGCGTGCACAAAATCGGTAGGAAAAAAAAAAACAATAATAAAAATAGTGGAAAAGAAACCTAAGAATAACAGTAAGGTCTTCCGCTGAAGTCGGAAGACCTTAATTAATTGATAGACGAAGCAATGTTTATTACCCAAGAATTTTAAAATTCTGGTAAAAATACCCTTATTTATTGTAACATGCTAGACCCGAGTGATCTCCTTTGGATCATGGTTTTCTTACAGGGATGATAATGAATGCAAATTATGCAAATACAATAGACACGTACCTATTGTGTAAGGTATTCAACAAATATAGATATGTTTTTGTCACTTGCCTAGTGCTACAATTCAGTACACACAGACTTGGGTATACTGTCACTAATTACAATAAGTCACCCTGTCTCTCTGTGATTCTTTGTTCACTTTGATAAAGCATAAAACAATCCAGTCTCTTGTCATCCATGACTCTCCTACCAGTGACAATAACTCATCTCATACTGTGTACAACTTTTGCTAAATATATAAAATAATCTTTATGTCAATCTTTGATATTGCTTTCCAAGCAAGAATCTGACTTTGAGCATGCTTTCCTCATTTAAACTGAACATTCATTTTTATTTTGTTTCTATATATAGAACATTCTTTCTTGTATTTTCATTCAATCAAATAACCTGTTAATTAAATAATATACAAGGATTTCTTGATGAACAATATCTAGCAAAAGGGAGTAATTCTCATTTGCTTCACTTATTACAATTGTGTGCTCTGTTTGCATCCTAGATACTCAGGAGCAAAGAAAAGGCCCATTTACTTATAAATATATTTAATATACTTACATTGATATTATAGCATTTAGTTTGTCTGTTTAATCCAAGGGGCAAAGGAGAAGATTCTAAAAGCATTAATTTATTTTCAGCATATAATAAACAAGCCCCCCCCCCCCCGAACTTCTGACCCAGGGGACATGAAATTCATAATTTTGGAAGAGGCACTCTTCCTCATCATAACTATTTACTTAGTTCATCGGCTTAATACCCAGAAGCAGAGAAGATTTTCAAAGAATTAATGCATCTTCACTAAATAATCATTATAACCTCATCCTAACACCAGAATCCCTGACCCAGTGGCCATGAAATTCACAATTTTGGAAGAGGCACTCTTGCTCATCATAACTATGTACTTACTTCATCGGCTAAGTATCCAGGAGCTGGGGGGATTTTTGAAGAATGAATGCATTTTCCCTACATAATCATTAGAGCCCCGCCATAACACCAGAACCCCCTGACCCTGGGGCCATGAAAATCACATTGTCAAAGTTGCACTCTTGCTCATCATAACTATGTACTTAATTCATCGGCTAAATCATTAGAGCCCCGTCCTAAACCCAGGGGCCATGAAATTCACAAAGAGGCACTCTTCCTCATCATAACTATGTACTTAGTTCAACGCCTTAATATTAAGGAACAGAGGAGAAGATATTCAAAGAACTAATTCATTTTCACTAAATAATCATTAGCCCCACCATAGCGCTAGAACCCCTGACCCTGGGGCCATGAATTATGCCAACAGTTTGACTGCTCAAAGGTCAAGTAGACTGTAACACTGTTAGTATTTCATAATTTTTATGACAGTGTAATGCTTAAAAGCATAGACCTACCTCTTAAATGTCAAAAAATGCTCTTTATCGGCACTATAAACTATTTTAAAAGTAGTTTAAAGGTCAAGATCAAGAATCACATTAGTTACCATGCTATTTTACAATAGTCAATAAATGTGTGCAAAATATCAAATCCATGCCCTTTACCGTTCTCGAAATATAAGATGTGAAAGACAAAGAGACAGACAAAGAGAAAGAGTGATAGACGCCGAGTAGAGTTATCCTTTAGGGTCTTTCTACTCTGCAGGCGACACAAAAATTGAATGATAGAAAAAGTAATAGTCACATAAGTACTTAAAAAGCATTGTTTCTTAGGATGATTCTAAATAAGCTAATTGCTATAATAAGATTTTAATTTTACGTGTAAAGGTGGTTTAACAACAATTTGGAAAAGCGTTGGTAATTTTAGTCCCTCTAAGGATGGTTTATTTATTCAGCATGCTATTTAAGGGAGTATTTTCCCCATAAGACTGTTCTAGAAGGAAAGAAAAATCTCGAGTTTTTATATTTCACTATGAAAATATCACTTTTGATATTTTCACTATGAAAATATCAATTTCATTCAAGGAATAATTAACGTATTATATTGTTTTAAATGAAGTAAAAATTTATACTAATATGTCTACCGAAGATTAATGCATATAATAAGTCATGGCTAGAATACTTCATGTAAAGCACGTATCTTTTTGAAAGACCTGGTACATGTACTCAAAGTTATCATTATAGAGGGAAACAATCTTTAGTACAATTTTTTTTTACCGAGTTCACAACGTGTTCCATGATACCCAGGCCGACAAGAACAAGTATATCTATTATGTAGATTGTGACATATTCCTCCATTGATGCATGGGTTACTGGCGCACTCATTGATATCTACGTTAAAACAAATTAAATGAACATATTTTAATTATTCATCACTGTAACGTATCTAAAAAAATAAAATTCCTTCAATGGAAATAGAAAAAGAAATTATATAAGAATCAATCCCGACTTTCAGGAAAGTTTTGAAGCAGAATTCGTAGGCATGTACACTCTTTTTTTTAACTTTAAGTATTATTTCAAATTCATTACATTTTAATTAGTTTCATTAATTTAGCTGTTTTGTTGATTCTGCTCATATGTTGAAGACATATTAAGTATTACAAATACAATGTGAAGTCTTTTCTGTAACGAGCATCCCTAATCTATCTATCTATCTATCTATCTATCTATCTATCTATCTATCTACCTGTAAAACTTACCTTGACACTCAACTTCGTAAGAACTAAGCAGTGTACAGTCACGGACTCTGGTAACACAATTATATCCTGCACCACAACTTCTTTCTTCACATCGTCTGTCTTTCATCCACTCACACTAGTAAAGTATTCATAGAATTTATTTTGCAAATTTGAGACATATATTTTTATTTTTTTTCCTAACCTGTTTTATTATTATAATATTTGTATTCTCATCAAGACTTCCAAGAAGTTAGGAAATTGACAGAAGCAAATCAGCATACTGTAGATTAACAGATTCAGTATCATTTAGCCAAAAACAGACAGTTTGGATAAAATATTAAAGTGCAATTTATTTTACAAAAACCTGGACATTTTTGACAAAAAGTTATTTCTTGTCACAATATGTATACAAACTATTGGTATAAACAAGACTCACCACACCCCTATGGTCATGAACAATATCAATCCATTCCCTTACTTCTTCGTATTCACAGGATCCAGATTCGCGGCATTCCTCATAGATATGATCATCACGCTTCGATCGTGGGCCTCTGTTTTTTAAAAATGTCGATGCCATCTCTTTTGATGTGATGAGATTTTCTAGGGACAAAAAATCTACAAAACAAAATTTCAGACATCATATTAGCTCAAGAAGCATTTAAGATAAATGCATGATTGGATGCAATAAAGTTGTTCTTAAACTGTTAAATACCTGTAGCTACTGACGTTAAAAAACTTGTAAAAAAAAAAAAGTAGAACAGGAAGATAAAATTCAAAGCAAATGAAATATAATACATATATATAAAAGCTAAAATTAAGCTTAAATATGTAAATATAAATATCCTGGTTCATATGTTGTCAAATATTACAAATAAGCTTTAATAGGATTTACACAATATTTCTCTTTTGAGACTGACAGATTTATTCTTAGTTCTTTAGTTTTATGTACGAAGATAGTTCCTTGTTGCCTTTTCAATCTAGATTGTCAGTAGGCAAATCAACCTTTTATATTGGTAAAGGATGACTTCACTTAACGATATATGGAATTTGCGACAAAATCAACTTTTAAAAAGAGAATTTTTTTTTAAATGGGAGGAATTGTCAATATATCAACTATAACGTTTTTAATTTCACTAATTAAAAGTTTGTATTTGCGAAGTGCTAATCCAATTTTCCGTTTCATAGACAGGGATCATCCCGATTTCTTGAATCTCCACACATTAATGAGGACGTCCATTTTAAACTGACTTATTCCGCTCTCAGCACATGTTTGTCTGTTGCTTTCAATTATACTAATAGATTAACAGACATTATTATTATTCACTGTGTGATTTCTTATCTTATGTTACTTTGTGAATACTAAATTTTGTCACGTGATATGTAAGGTAGCATGTATTTTGAATGCCATGTTCTTTTCAGAACTGAGCTACTAGGGAATTGTAATTGTTAGGCATTAATTTACGATCTTCTGTACAAAAGTTTATCTGCCTTTATTGTTGAAACCTTTGTAAATACGTACTGGATGCCACCCATTTCTACTCATGCATAGTTATCGGTATATATCTTCAGTCAAGTCTTGTAAGGGTAAATTCTTAATATTTGCAGAGCAGCGGGAAAAAACCCACTCAATCAATGTATTGTATCATAGTCTAAAATTATTTTGACATTCAAATTCTGTGTCCGAATTGAACAGGTAAAGTGTTCGAGAGGATAATGTTGATTATTTTGTTAGTAAACACTGTTCAAAGTAAATATATTATTGTGTTCCAGTTTCGGGAATTTAGGTCAAGTTCTCAATTTATCCTGCTGAAACCATTTATTTTCTTCATATCATTAGGGCGGAATGACTTCAACCTATGATTCCAGGACTTCTTTTTTCCGTTTTCTCAATAACCAGTAATGTCTTCTCCTCCCATTTGTGACCTTCAAGGTTGAAGTATATTTCCAAGTGGCTGAATGAGTGGGTTTTTGTTGTTGTTGTTTTTTTTTGTTTTGTTTTTTATTTTGTTTTTGTTGTTGTACCATAATATTTACATTTCCAAATATTTTTCCTTAGGATTCTTTGCAAAAAAAGTTCATGTTCTCATGAACTACCGTAAGATGAGTAAGAATATTTCTCTTGTGATCTGATTGAAGTAAAAAAAAAAATAGTGCAAACTTTTTTTCAAATATGATCGATGGATGACAAAAATATGTGGCAAGTCATCAGAAAAAATAATGTAAATAAAAGATATGAATTTAGTTTTTGAGAATTCATGTGGTACATGAACTGCAACGCTTCACGCCTGCATATTTATTATGAAGCAATAACGCGCATTATGAAATATGCCGGCGTTAAGCGTCGTAGTTCATGTCCTCATGAATTCTCAAAAATTAAATTCATCTTTGAATATTTACATTTCCAAATATTTTTCCTTAAGATTCTTTGCAAATTAGAAAAAGCTCGTGTTCTCATAAACTACCATGGGATGAGTAAGAATATTTCTATTGTAATGTGACCTAAGTAAAAAAAAAATGCAAACTTTTTTTTTCAAAAAATGATCGTTGAATGACAAAAATATGTGGCAAGTCATCAGAAAAATAATGTTAATAAAAGATATGAATTTAATTTTGGAGAATTCATGAGGTACATGAACTGCAACGCTTCACACCTGCATATTTATCATGAAGCGCTAACGCACTTCATGAAATATGCCGGCTTGAAGCGTAGTAGTTCATGTCCTCATGAATTCTCAAAAATTAAATTCATCTCTTAAAAAAAAAATTACTCCACTACTTAAAAACAGAAATCTTTATAAATGATTATTTTACATTTAAGTAGTTTATGTGAGTACATTTAGTATCTTAAATAGTATTTCTAGAATGTAAATGGTCAACTTTTGCATTTTAAGGTGTTCAACTTACTTACAAATGAAATAATTTGAAGTTTTGGTTCATATACTCTAGATACCCGATATAAATCAAACTTCATAAATTAGGCTTGTGTGGATCTTGTTTGGAGAAAAAGCATTAATATTACCAGAGTAAAACCTTTCAAATTGATCCCAGATTATTAATGAAAGTTACGTAAACAAAAGATACACAATATCAAAACTTTGTTTATTTCTTGTATTGTTTGTCCAGAGGTTTAACATATAACATATAAAATAATCTGTGTTGAAAATTCTGTAATTTAATTGAAGGAAAAGACAAAGTAATTGTGATTAATTACTTTTTAATGTAAATTACTCTATAGGGCTCACGGCGAGTGTGACCGGTCAACAGGGAATGCTTACTCCACATAGACACCTGATCCCACCTCTGGAATTTTCAGGGGTCCATGTTTGTGCTCTCTTTGCAGATTTGTATTGTTTGAAGTTTTTATGAGATCGATCACTGTTCGTTATCTTCACCCTTTTTCATATGTCTAAAAAATATATTCAGGGAAATATTAAATACGAGGGGTTACCAAAAAGTTCGTGGACTAGCGCCATAAAATTAAAACCGTTTTAGGTACATCAATGATTTTCAAAATATTTAGTAAGCATCATCTTTTCTATCTATAGAATAAACCACAATTCATAAGTTTTATTTTTTAATAAATTAGTTATGTTTTTATAAGCAATGGCATGTCCAGGCGGCGCAACCGCGAACATGACGTTTTTTCAACCTGAGTGTTACTAAGAAAAACTCTTTTGATATGAGCAATTGACATCCAAAAATTCCGTTAATTCAGGCATGTGATGGGACACCATTGTTCCGCAAAATGTGCAATTTTTACCCCATTCTGTACGTTCTATGAAATTTTATTGTATATTTTATAAGGAGTGTCTATACAATTAAGGGTTTGGAAATGACGTCAAAAAGGGGGGAGGGGTTTCTTTTTCCATCATTCTATAAAGTTTTACCCCTGAAAAAACTGGTATAGACTCAGGGAAAGTTTAAACTGGCTACAGAGAAATAAAATGCATCCAGAGTACTTGTTATTAAATGCCAAAAGAGATTCTCAGAGATGAGAGATGAGCAGTTAATGTCGATTTGTAGTCAAGGTGTGAAATGTCAATCTCGTCAAAAAGTGACGTTGATCATGTGTGTTTTGTATTGAACTCCAACAAGCAAAATATGCTGGCATAATCAAGCGAGGATCTTTCCCTAACTAAAGATTCATTTACAATTTTATATGCATTGAAATCAGCTGTTCGTGACATTGTTATGTCATATAAACAAGACAGGTTTTAGGTTTTACTAAAATCCAGGGAATCTCATCAAGATAAGTGTATTGAGACAGAAGGAGCAGGCATTGAGAAATAATGACGTTGTCGGACGTCATGAAGCTAAACGACAACAGCGCCGGGTGATCATATTATGCCTTTTTTATTTTATAATAATTTGGCAAATTCTCAACGTATCAAGCTAAAATTTTCAACACTTCTTAAACTTTTATTGTTTAATGTTCCTTACAAATTTTGTAAACATGAACTACATAGTATTAATTTTATCGCATCAGTCCACGAACGTTTTGATAACCCCTCGTACAACGCTAACCTTGGATAACTTAGTTTTTCTGATGAGTTGAATTTCAAATATGAATACTTATACGAGAAGTGCCAGTTCATGATCAAGATTTGAAACTTTGAAATCTTTAAAAAAAATCTCTTAAAAAGATGTAAAGTTCATTATTTTTAACCTCTAGGGGACACAAATTCACTTATCGTTATCTGTAATTCTTTCTATCAGAGTTCGTTACAACCAAAAATTTTTACAAGGAATTCCTAAGAATATGCCGGGGATCTCCATAAAAATTTATTATATCCTTAAAATCGCTATATCCGCGTTCATACTAAATGAGATTTACTGTCGTTGTTAATTCTTTCTTTTGGAGTTTCTATTGCTTGAATTGTACATATATCATTCTGACATTTTTTTTATTGTCAAAATGATATGAAATTTATTTATGTTACATTTTTATTTGTTTTACCTTTTCATTGGCATATTTTTTGCTATTTACTAGAAACTTTCAGAGATATACTGACATTAATTTGCAGAGTTGGATTTTCTTACCTTTTTCACAGCATCTACCAGTTTTTCCAGATCCGGGAGTACATATGCAGTTTCCATTAACAAATGAACCGTTATTGAGACAGTTCA